TAAAAATGCTTAGTTTGTCATTAGAAATCAATAATAGCACATTTTTTCGGATAATGTTTAGAATGTTCTAAAAGATTTTTGGAAAATTCAATTTTAATGTGTATAGCAGCCTAAACTGCTTGGGTCTAAAGCAGTTAATTATTTGACAGAAACCCCCTGGGGCACACCAGGCCAACGCCAGATAATGATGCACGCTGCGTATTAACTCCTTTCAGAAGCCTAACTATAAGCAATGGAAATTAAGTACAGTTCACTTGTTTTACTCACTCGCCCTATTAGCTGAACTCAGTGTTTGTCTCAGCGGGCGTGCAACAGCAGCAGATGTTTCAGAGATGTCCATGGAAAGTGTTAACAAGCACATCTAAAAACACATTTATTAAATAGTAAGCCAGCCCCCCCCGCCCCCAATTTAAAAAATAAAATAAATTATTATAAAAAAATTGTCTTATAAATACTCGTCTATGTCTATTAAAGCTTTGCCCATGAGAAAACAAAAACAAATTATATCGTTTTGCTACGTGTTTCTTTTTATAGGTTATTAAAATAAGTCTGGGCTTGTTAACATATTGTTATTTTGTACTGGTAGTAAACTGCTCCACATTCATACACAATACAGCAGAACTCAGAAATGAGGGGAAAAAAACAACACTCCGAATGTTTTAAGGTTTCACTATTTTAAACATTTATGCTCTCGGTGACAGCTTGCTATACATACTGTAAAGCACATAGAGTACAACTAGCAGGTTAACCGAGGCAACTACTCAGACATGTCCAGATAAGGAATTATCTAATAGCTAAGAATCTATACATTTGCCAACCCTGATTTTACAGCAATAAACATAGATTTTTTAAAAGTAAGGTATATGTGCCTGTAGCCAGGTAATGAGCAGTCATTTGCCAAGGTATTTAGTTTCCCCAGCATTATCTGTCTAATTTGATCAGCCCTTTGGTTACATAATTTATCAGTGTCAAACTGTGTCTTACCACACTTCATTTTTACACAGTGTTAGTGACACACACACTCAGACAAGCCAAACAAGCATTTATATAGATTAACAGTACGTCTTCCTCTTCAATATGTGCAAACATTCCTGGAAGTAGGAGGACAGGCATGAGATACATAGCTAAAGATCTCAATATGTACAGTGAGTAAATACCTAATAAAGAGATTGTCCTGCACAAAACGTGCACCTTTAAGTGGGGATGCCTGCTATCAGTACAGTATGCTGGTGCAATTATTTGCTAACAAATAGATTCATGACTTGCCTGTAGATTGCGTGACTTCTCCAATAAATAGATGTTAGAGTTTGTATTTGTCAGTTTCGGAGGTTTTAATCCACCACTGATTCCAACACAGGCAAGTAGTGTATATTTGTGTGATTGTGCGTCATTGGTACTTTTTAACATTTAGTGCTTTATCATCTGTATTTACATTTGCTGCCGACTGCACCAGTTTATTAATAACATCTGTATTCTTACCTGAAGGGTACCTTGGAATCCACATGTTCCGTGAAAGATCATTCTCTTTTATCAAGGGGTTTATTACTGAGCTGAGTTGTGGTAAAATTACCCTGTCCCCTTAACCCTGCAATGTTTATTTGGAAGGGTTAAGACTATCAGACAGCCATTAAAGGCCCTTCCTGCAGTTTCATAACACAGAACATAGGACATCCAGCGTCTTGAAAACCCCCACAGAAAAGCATTGATTCAATGGTTTTCTATAGCAAAGACCCAATGTGTACCGCATTATGTTCCCACTTGGCGCTGACATCGGAGGAGGCAGAGACAGAGACAGCTCTGTGGGACTTTGGTGCTGGAACTGGGTAAGTGTTGTAAAGGGAAGGAAGAGGTGGTGCGCATGGGTGCCAGTGTGACACTATAATGTTAAGAATACTGTAGTTTTTTTTTGTTATCCCTAACACTAATGTGTTCCTTTAACAGGATGATGACGTTTAAGGCCTATTTTATAGCTACATTTAGAATTGCAACTATGTAATAAGCCTTGAGGTTTTCATGATATCAAAAGGGAAGAGAAAATACATGTCATTAGTTAGCAAAGATATATTGAGCTGCTTGTTTTTCAACTCAAGATCGCAATGGATTTGGCATCTGTCCTATCTGTAAACATGGAAGACAATGTTTACACTGGAATGTCGTCATTGGACAAGGCAGAAAATGTTCTATAGAGAGTATAGATATAATGTACTGAATGTGCCTTGTTTGCATGGGACACTTGCCCCTATACATATGACCTATTTAGTCCTTCAAACCAAATTCTCACCTTACTAAACCTTGAATTTGATCGTTGACATAGTCTGTACAATTAAGCTCTTGTGCTTTTTTTTTTTTTTCTGCTACATTACTAAAATTGATCTTTCATGCCTGTTCCTGATTTTTGTCTACTACAATGCTTGTTCCAGGGCAACCCATCATGACATAATTTAGGTCACATATGGTTAATCAGTCACATCTCATAACTCCAAACGGAGAGTGACAAGGGCTCTTCAGATAAAGGCTCAATCAGTATATGTAACCTGTGTTAAATATCCCACACAATGGGGGATTCATACTCAATTACGTTTAATAGTAAACATTAATGTAACATATCCGATACACATGCTATGGTAATGGTAATTCCTGTGTTATAAATTATCCTTAACTACATAATAAGAGATGGTGCACTAGTATAAAGGTACTGCAATAATGTTATATTATTTTGCTATCTATACATATCTCCTTTCTAAAGTTTCCATTGTACGCATATGTAGGTGTCTAATTATGACTTGAGTGATACACCTTTACTGCAAAACACAAGGATAAATAATCAAACCCGAGGTCTGACCTTGGAAATCAGAAACCATTGCTCAATCAGTATTTTCAAAGAGATCTATTTTTGCTGCCCAATTGAGTCAACATGCAAAACACTTGTACAAGAGGTCATGGGAGAGAAGGACTGCAAACTCTACCACACAGATAGCATTATTACAAGAACACACAGTCAAAAACAAATCATTTTCTTGGCACTTGCACAATTGAATTACAGTAAAGAACTGTTTAAAAGTAAATTTTGATTATACAAAGCTGTGGGAATACTACAAAGCCCTGGAGCAAGTTCCCTACCATTTACCCTCTTTACCTTTTCTCTCTAGAACTTCATACATTTATTTGGAGTTCAAGAATCATCATTTAAGAAGAATCAATGATAAAACCTCCATCACTATACATAGAAATATGCCAGGAAAAACTCTTCCCACTTTCAGGCCAGGACTGTTTCCAGGGGACACAAATCCCTTTGTTCAGAATTACCCCATTCCCTTTGTCATCAGAAGACGAAGGAAGAAGAGGACTCTTGGACATTGACTTAATACAACATAAAGTACAATCCTCCACAATCATAACATCCTAGTTATTCTGGTTGTGTAATTTTAGAAAAGGATTTGGGTCACCTGTATAAAAGAGTCCCTGACTGAAGTTCTAACTTCATAATTGGCCTATTATCTACAAAAGAATCAGAAGAGAAGGCCAGGTAGGTACATCAATTTAGTCTAGCCAATCCATATAATTAAATATAAAATAGATTTTTTTAATTCTTCCATAATGGTCCCTGCAATGGGACCAGCCATGTCAAGCTGTGGGACTTTGTTCTGTGATGCTGCACCTGACATTCTAGAGACTGTAAAAAATTACAAAAAATAAACCCCCTCCCCTCCCCCAAAAAAACCCAAAAAAAAACAAACAAAAAAAAAACAACTCAAGTTCACTGCTGCAATCTAATAAGAGTTCATCTAGCTTTCAGCCTACGGCCATGTGTAATTAGGAACATTGTCTAGCTTGCAGCATGTGTGAAACCTGAGGCTTTCATTTTTTTAGGTCACATGTCTAATGGTCTAATGCTAGATATTGGCACACTTCAGCTTTGTTGCAAATGTTATTTGCTGCTGCACAATTTTCCTATGACAGAGCCCTCATAAACCAGGGCTAAAGAGAGGATAACAATATGAAAAAGTAACAGCCTTTTTATTCATAGACTTTCTGAATGCTACAACAACAAAATAAAGAAAAAAAAAAAATCTCTTTTAGATTAAATACCTTTAGATGTTAAGAATGTGAATTATTATTGCAGTGTTTAACAACGTTCTACTTTTGGAATGACCCACTGTGCATAAACCAAGCTTTGAATTAGTGGATTCCTTTAACGGCCACTATACCACAGCAACACAACACATTTTTACTGGAAAGAGCTAGTAAGAGACAAAATTAGGATATGCATGGCAGGGGGGCGCTGACAGGACAGATGCATGGGGTGAGTGCTCCTCAGGGAAATCCTAGTACCAAGCCTTAATTGGGCACTAAACCCTGCTTGTTGGTTAAAAGCTTGTCACTTAGCCCTGAGAACACACTGCCGAGACTCTGACATTCCCAGGCTAGCACCCGGCGGACACAGCCTGTGCTGTCTACACCTCCAGCCTGCGTCTCCACTTGAAGGCAGCAAATCCTCGCCCTTGATTAGGATTCTCTAAGCTTTGTGCCCTGGTCCCCCCCTTTGGACCAGTGAAGGGCATCATGGTTCCCCCTGGTGTCCTGGACTGAGGTGACATTCTCCCCTGGTGTCCAAACAAGATGACCGACCCGCTAATACCTGCCGACATGGGTACCTCTCAGAAGACTTCCACATACATCGAACAACTACTGCAGGCCTTTGGTTGCCTCTGTGAAGCCTTCCGGGGCCTAGCTCAGCAACAAGGTCTCTAACTCTGCTTCTGCAAGACAAACTACAGAATTCCAGTGGTGACCGGCTGAGCGATAACTCAAGTGTGGGCATCCCCACGTGTCTTAGGTGATCCCCGTGGAGGAGATGGCGCAAGAAACTGCCGCAACGAGCAACCTGAATTTATTATTGTCTCTATGGTTTTCTATAACATGTCTTAATTAGTGATGTTGCGAACCGTTCGCAAACTTCCCGCGAACAGCTCGCCGCGGTTCGTGGCGAGCTCCGGTCAGCTGACACATCCCGGCCAATCTCCAGCAGACCCTCCCTCCCAGACCCTGCCACCTCCTGGACAGCATCCATGTTGAAGCTGCCTTCAACATGGATGCTGTCCAGGAGGTGGGAGGGTCTGGGAGGGAGGGTCTGCTGGAGATTGGCCGGGATGTGTCAGCTGACCGGAGCTCGCCGTGAACGGTTCGCGGCGAACTGCGGCGAGCCGTTCGCGGGAAGTTCGCGAACGGTTCGCGACATCACTAGTCTTAATCCATCTCTGCCATTACTCATAGAACTATGCTCCTGTATTTGTTTAATTTCCTTTTGTTAACATTTCATTAGCTAACTCTTCTCAGTCGATATGTGTATATTCAAGTGAAATGTGTCCACACGTTTGTATACGGCTTTCTGCACTACTAAAATAAAGAATGAAAAAAAAATCGGATATGCAAAAAGCAGTCGGAAACTCATGAATGGCAAAAGGAGGAACATAAGACACAGAATTAATTTCTCCCCTATGGCCTTTGTCAGCAGGTTTACAGAGATCCCCACAGGTAGACATTAGTATCATATTTAATTACAATTCGACTTACAACACATTGATCCGGCCAATGCTAACCCATTATTCACGTTTGAAGATACAACCACTAAATATATTAATAAGTCAAATCACTTTTTATTTAATTTTTTTCGTTAGAATTTTTTTTTATGACAATAGAGATAATTCTGTGTATTTCCTAGACAGGACAACAGGGAATGTATATCCAGAATAAGAAGGCACTAGGTGGTAGGTGAGGGGGAAAGGTTGCATTTTCTTTGAATGGTATAATGGAAAAAGCCTTTTGAGTCCTCTGGTCACATATGAACCCAGTTTATAACAAAATGTTGTACGAAAAAACTTTAACATCACCGCTTGAAGATTTAAAAAAATGAAACAAAAAAATATTGGATTGGTGAAACCATTACACTCTAAAATGTCTATTCCCTGAGGAAAAAAAAAAATAATATAAACAACTTGCGATTAGACATCAAAGATTAGAGTGTCTGATTGCCAGTGGTACAGTCTGACATGCACCTTACCCAATTCTACATTCCTTTCCTTTACATATATGTAAAGAAATCTTAAAATCAAATGCAAAAAGACTGACTAATAGCTACTGTTATTAGTGATCAGTTTCTAAAGGTAGTGCAGCTTTTCCTGTTTTAGGTAATTCCCACACACACACAATCAATGTATGTGCAAGGGACAGAAAACACATTCCCATATTATATGATGAACTGCTGTTATGGATTTTGACTGCCAAAGCTTAAAGGGTGATGAGTCAGATTTAAATAGATATTGATCGCTTGGTGTGCTGAGAATTCCAGCAGATAGACACCAACTTAAAACGTTCATATTTTAAAACACAGAAGTAGAAAGGGTAGTGAATAACACAAGCTTTACATTCAACCCAGGCATTTGATTTCCTATAGGAACACTATTAATTATGGGTCTGCAATGGCTAATTAACATGTCAAATATTCAATTAGGTATATTACATTTAATAATTCTCATTATGTTGAATTGGGAATTTCAATATAAGGAAATTATGCACACAAGTAATGCTTCTTGTGTTCACATAATGGTACCAAAGCAGCTTTAGCCAAGGGCAAGAAGAGTTCTGTGAATAAGGCACACTGTACCCAAATTCATGGATCGGAGATAGCTTCACTGTCTACTGTGTGACTTAACTCCCCACTCTCAGACTGCAAGTGCTGCTATTTTTTTTTATTTTATTTACTCTGTGGCAGATGCTTTAAGGGCTGGTGGGAAGCAAATCTTCCAGGAAACACGTGAATTATAAAATAGTGGACTACCATCTTAAAGATGCTAAGCAAGTGCTAGCAGAGTTTGATAGGTATGGAAACATAGCTGGTTTAGAGCCAAGGCTAGCCACTGTGTTGGGACAACATTGTCCATGCTATGCTCTCCAAGGCTTCTAGCCAACATTTTACTCACTAGTGACAGCCTATGGCAGGGAAAGTATGTAAAGTGAAGAAGCAGGCACTGTGTTGCAAAAGAAACAGGAGAAAGGAGAGATATATTTAATATGGGATATGTTTGTGCAAAGCTTAACCACAGAATAGTGGAGTCCAACCAGATCAGATGGCCGCTTATACTTGGACCAGAGTGTGTAAAGACCACACCTGGGAAAATGGTTTGCAGAGAAATCCTAGATTTGGGAATATAGTTCTCATATAACCCAGACACATAATTTTCCATAAACAACACACCAATTCCTAAAGTCTAGCTGGATTTTGCCAGCCCAATAATATGTAAAAACAATAAATCTACAATAAAACTATTTTACTGGGAGTCGATGGTAAAGAAATTATACACCAAAATAAGGAGAGTGTAGTCACGTGAGGACAAGTAAGTATATATTGGGGTATCTACCCTTCATACAGTATACAATACCTGACTGATCACCAGGGGACACAGACAGGGTATCCATTTTTGAGTGTTTCAGAAAATGTTGCCACTTTTTTTTTTAATGATGTAAAGCTCATTAATGAAACAGTTTATCAATAAATGATTTGATTGCTTAAATATTGAAAATTTCTACTATATGTTTGAAAAAAAAGTCACATCAATTTCCAAATTAAAGGACCACTATAGTGCCAGGAAAACATACTCGTTTTCCTGGTACTATAGTGCCCTGAGGGTGCCCCCACCCTCAGGGACCCCCTCCCGCCCGGCTCTGGAAGGGGGAAAGGGTTAAAAACTTACCTTTTTCCAGCGCTGGGCGGAGAGCTCTCCTCCTTCTCTCCTCCTCCTGGGCTGAATGCGCACGCGCAGCAAGAGCTGCGCGCACATTCAGCCCGTCGCATAGGAAAGCATTTACAATGCTTTCCTATGGATGCTTGCGTGCTCTTACTGTGAAAATCACAGTGAGAAGCACGCAAGCGCCTCTAGTGGCTGTCAATGAGACAGCCACGAGAGGATTAGGGGGAAGACTTAACCCATTAATAAACATAGCAGTTTCTCTGAAACTGCTATGTTTATAAAAAAAAAATGGGTTAACCCTAGAAGGACCTGGCACCCAGACCACTTCATTAAGCTGAAGTGGTCTGGGTGCCTAGAGTGGTCCTTTAAGCAAGCAATGTTGTGCTTTGCCAACATGATATGCTAGCTCTGGAAACTGTGTTGCTGGTATTACTGGATGAATGCATGAAAAGTCTTATTAGAGTTTTTCTAACTCAACACCACCATAATTTACCACTATGTGCATGAAGGAAAGGTTTCCACATACCAGCTACTTACAGTAGTACTATGTCTAATGTTCCACTAAACAAAGATAAAGGCATCTGAATCAGATCGATCTGAATGTATTGTCTGCTTATCAGTTTAATCATTCTGTAACACTTGTTACAAGGACAATAACACTTGCAATTTGACACAAACAGCTTATCATATTTAATATATTGAATTATGTGTGTGTGTGTATGTATATATGTATATATATGTGTATATATATATATATATATATATACACACACACACATACACATATATATATACACACACACACACGCATAAATAAGGAAAAAATACTGGCACTCCAAGGATTTTTCATTCAGAAATTCTTCTTTTATTTAAGAAAAAATCATCAACGTTTCAGCTCCTTAGGGGAGCTGAAACGATGATTTTTTTCTTAAATAAAAGAAGAATTTCTGAATGAAAAATCCTTCGAGTGCCAGTATTTTTTCCTTATTTATGTTACAGCAACCAGAGCACCAGGTATTTTGGACTTTTTGGTTGGAGTGCAGGGGTTTCTCACCTTTATATATACACACACATATACCATATATACTCGAGTATAAGACAAGTTTTTCTGCACATTTTTTGTGCTGAAAACCCCCCACTCGTCTTTAACTCGAGTCACTGTCTGTATTATGGCAACTTACATTGCCATAATACAGACCAGGACCGCCGGGCTCATTACAAGCCCGGCGGTCCTGTTGGGGGCTGGAAGAGAGATGTTATCTGGCCAGGGAAGGGGGCTCTCATTCCCTGGTGGTCCAGTGGATGGGCTGTGTAGGAGGGGGGCTGGCAGCAAGCTTACCTTTCCTGCAGCTCCTGTCAGCTCCCTTCTCTCTCCTCCGGTCCGGTCAGCTCCCCTGTCAGCTCCACTGTAAGTCTTGCGGTCTGAATGCCGCGCAGAGCTCTACTGTATGTCTCGAGAGAGCCGCTGGGTCAGAGCGTTGCCACAGGTTACCGTGGCAACGCTCCACGTGGCAGTCAGACCGCAAGACTTACAGTGGAGCTGACCGGACCAGAGGAGAGAGAAGGGAGCTGACAGGAGCTGCAGGAAAGGTAAGTTACAGCTTGCTGCCAGCCCCCCTCCTACACAGCCCATCCACTGGACCACCAGGGAATGAGAGCCCCCCTCCCTGGCCAGCTAACAAGCAGGGAGGGGGGACAAAAATAAATAAATAAAAATTTAAATAATAATAAAATAAAAATATTAATAATATAAAAAAAAAATAATAATAATAATTAACAAAAATAATAAAAATGCCCACACCCCACCAAGGCTCTGCATCACACCGCACTCATACACACACACACATACACCCATACAAACACACTGCATTATATACACACACACTGCATTCATTATATACACACACTGTAAATAAATATTCAATTAATATAATTTTATTTAGAAATTTACCAGTAGCTGCTGCATTTCCCACCCTAGTCTTATACTCGAGTCAATAAGTTTTCCCATTTTTGGGGGGTAAAATTAGGGGTCTCGACTTATATTCGGGTCGACTTATACTCGAGTATATATACATATATATACACATACATACACACACACACACACATATATATACACACAATGTATATATAATAAAGAGAGAGCGAGAACAAAAAAAAAATGAAACAGAAGTATTAAATAATAAAACTAGAATGATTATTCTATTGACTTTTTCATTGGCCAATGTGTGGCAACATTAACTGAAAGTGCTTCACTTATATCACAGTAGTACAGAAAAAGTATTCTAATTAAAACTCAAACTCATATATATTCTTTATGTGATCTATAGGGAAGTAAAACGTATGCCTCCCAGGGATGAAAGTCAAACTTAAGAATGTTGAAACCACATCAATGCTTTGTTCCTCGGAAT